TAGTCTGGTAACCTGGATCCCCTGTATTGCGCTTCCTCTTACTTGTATTGTGCTGACTCTTTATAATTGGATTACCTGTATTGCGCTGCCTTTTTATAACTGGATTACCTGTATTGCGCTGCCTTTTTATAATTGGATTACCTGTATTGTGTTCTTGTAGTTGCCAGCACATCCATGCCTGTCAGTGATTTGGACGGCAGTTCCATTTTCAAAAGTGAACATGAAGCCGGATGAAACCAGCTTGAATAAAGTAAGTGTCACTCAGGAGAACACCAATGGAGGTGGATGTACTGAGATTAAGGGAGGAAGCATTCCATTCCCCCATGACCAAGGATACCCATTAATAGACCGTTCAGTTCCTGCATCCATAAGTTGGAAGCGGAAGTGTGCAGCATATGTCCTAGCTCTTCGACCTTGGAGTTTTAGTGCCTCTCTGATTCCTGTTGCATTGGGAAGTGCACTTGCTTACCGATCTGAAGGTAGCCTGGATTTCCTGCTTCTCTTGGTTTGTGCTGTGGCTGTTTTGTCAGTCCATGGTGCTGGAAACCTGGTGAACACCTACTATGACTTTTCCAAAGGCATTGACCACAAGAAGAGCGATGACAGGACTCTGGTAGACCGTATTCTGGAGCCTCAAGATGTTGTACGATTCGGGGTCTGTCTCTACACTCTGGGATGTTTGTGTGCTGCTTGTCTTTTCTTCCTATCCAAGCTGAAGCTGGAACATCTGGCTCTTATCTATTTTGGAGGACTTTCCAGTTCATTCCTGTACACTGGAGGTAGGTTGATAAAGAAACTATTATTAATATTATATTGCTATTTAATATGAAGTACAAATGTAATTAGACATCTTATAAGCACCATAACGTCTGTTCCTTGCATGGTTATGGTGGTCAAAGGTTGCTTCATACCTGTGGTCAACCAGGTGTCACTCACTGCCACTATTGAAAGCTCTCTGATGAAGTTAAAGCAACACTATAGGGTCAGGAATACAAATATGTATTCCTGACCCTATAGTGTTACAGCCAGCATGTTCAAACAGCAACTAGATGCATACTTGCAAAAACTGAATATTTAAGGATATCATTTTTCAATGTAGGGTAATAGCTTCTCGATCTAAGGATTAATCTGACTGCCATTCAAGGGTCAAGAAGGATTTCATTTTCCCTAGTTTGTTGCAAAACAGCAAAAAACAAATGTGAGGAAGGCTGAACTTGATGGATGCAAGTCTCTTTTCAGCTGTGTAACCACCATCTAGCCCCCATGGTCCACCCTTGCCCCCCTCAAATATAGTAAAATCTTACTTTTGTTCAAGTCTGCAGCTGCTGGCTCTGCCCCTGATGTGCCTGCTTGGCTGACATAATCAGAAGTGTTGTTCTGAGCCAGTTACAAAGCTTTCAAATAGGATTGTTCGAGACTGTCATGGAGGCAGGTCAGGGGCAGAGCAAACACAGTCCTGACCAATCAGCATCTCCTTATAGAGGTGTATTGAATCTGTGCATCTCTATGAGGAAAGTTCAGTGTCTGCATGCAGAGGGTGGAGACACTGAATGACAGTCACACTGTGCAGCCCTGCCCCAGGAAGCACATTTAGTAGCCATTTGAGGAGTGGCCAGTGGAGTTATCCCTAGGCTGTAATGTAAACACTGCATTTTTTCTGAAAAGACCGTGTTTACTGAACAAATACAATAAGCTGTAGTTGTTCTGGTGACTATAGTGTCCTTTTAAGTCTAGAGCTAAGCTCATTGGTTGTGTGGGATCAGCTGTCAGTCAATGAGTTGGCACTGCAGAGCTTAGCTGAAGAAAGCTAATGGATGTAACTGTATCAGAGAAAGGAAAGGGCACCATGCTGACCCCACGTAAGAAATCAAATCATGTAGTGGTTATGATGCTTTGAGTGTCTTTTTAAATGAGTAGATAATTACATTTTGGGGTAAGATATTTAAAGAAGACATTGTTAGGAAAGCTTAAACTGTCATTGGTCCTTAAGGGGTTATTTTCTTCAATGGTTCAATTGTAGTTTAGAGTCTGCTTTTAATGGCTGCATGCTAAAGAGCAAATGTACTCTGATCAAAACAAAGTATAAGGAGGATTAATTCCATTTCACAAAGCATAAGCCTAGAGACCAAGCTGCGGAATTAGATTTTAGATTTAAATACGCAGTCTAGACACCATAACCACTTTAGCCTTCTGTAGTGGTTATAGCACCAGGGTGCCTTGATTGCATATCCTGTTAAGTAGTCAAAAATGTTTCAATTGGTATGACACTTACCTGTGTCCCTCAGCCTCCTCATCACAGATTGCTGTGGAAGTCCCTACACAGCAGTTATGAAGTTAGTTCTCGTGTTTGAATAAAATTAAAGGGATACTCCAAACACTTAAATGGCTTTAAAAAATGCAGATTCAATTGAAACAGACCATTTTATAAATAAACATTGCTACACGCCCAGCTGTCGAACAACAGGTACTGTTACTTCCTGGTTGTTTAGCTCAGTAGAGCTAATCTCAAGAGTCCGCAATTGAGCTACAGAGGGAAGTCTGTGATTGGACAACCACAGAAAGTCTGGGCGGGGCTAGCAGGGGAGGGTTTACAAAAGCTGCAGACAGGAAATCTGCAGTTTTTGCAAACTGTTTAACCCCTTAAGGTCACATGACGTGTGGCATGTCATGATTCCCTTTTATTCCTGACGTTTGGTCCTTAAGGGGTTAACTTGCAGTGGATTGTCCCTTTTAGTTAGCTGATTGTGTCAAAGGACTGTAGTGGTGGTAGTGCCTTGGCTGATCATTTAAAGGGATCCTATTGTGCCAGGAAAACAAAGCCATAGGTTTAATAGATCGCCCACGCACTCCTGCGAGGCTGAGACACTTACCTGAATCCAGCGCTCTGCCCACGCTCCTCCCCACCGACGTCAGCTGGCGGGGGAGACCGAATGTTCATGCACGGCAATGGCCGCCCATGCATTAGACCTCCCCATAGGAGAGCATTATTCAATGCTTTCCTATGGGGGAAGTCTGAGGACGTCTAGTGTCAGATAACGGACCAAAGGTCGTTTTGGATTCCGGAAGCGCCCCAGTGGCTGTCTGGTAGACAGCCAATGAGAGCAGACTTAGAGCTGCAATGTAAACATTGCAGTTTCAGAGAACTGCAATGTTTTACATTGCAGCACTAAGTGCAAAAGGGTCACAGCAACCAGACCACTTCAATTAGCTGAAGTGGTGTGTGTGCCTACAGTGTCCCTTTTAAAGGGACACTATAGTCACCTGAACAACTACAGCTAATTGGATTTGTTCTGGTGAGCAGAATCATTACCTTCAGGCTTTTTGCTGTAAACACTGTCTTTTCAGAGAAAATGCAGTGTTTACATTACAGCCTAGTGATAACTTCACTGGCCACTCCTCAGATGGCTGTTAGAGATCCTTCCTGGGTGATGGCTGCCTAAAACGCATCCAAACATTCAGTGTCTCCTCCCTCTGCATGCAGACACTGAACTTTCCTCATAGAGATTCATTGATTCAATGTATCTCTATGAGGAGATGCTGATTGGCCAGGGCTGTGTTTGAATCATGCTGGCTCTGCCCCTGATCTGCCGCTTTGTCAGTCTCACCCAATCCTATGGGGAAGCACTGTGATTGGATCAGGCTACCACTTCTAATGATGTCAGTGGGCAGGTGTAAAGGAAACTGGGACAAAGTAAACAGCTGCAGATTTGTGTTCAAGTAAGATTTCACTATATTTATGGAGGTATGAGGGGCCCAGGGGGGCTAGATGGTGGTGTTAACACTATAGGGTCAGGGATACATGTTTGTGTTCCTGACCCTATAGTGCTCCTTATTTTTTTTTTTTTTTATTTTTATTTTTTTTTTAAATACATGAGTTGAATTACTAAGCAAGGTAACAGCATGACTACAGGGCATTATCTGTCATGGAGTGCAAGGTAACAGCATGACTACAGGGCATTATCTGTCATGGAGTGCAAGGTAACAGCATGACTACAGGGCATTATCTGTCATGGAGTGCAAGGTAACAGCATGACTACAGGGCATTATCTGTCATGGAGTGCAAGGTAACAGCATGACTACAGGGCATTATCTGTCATGGAGTGCAAGGTAACCGCATGACTACAGGGCATTATCTGTCATGGAGTGCAAGGTAACAGCATGACTACAGGGCATTATCTGTCATGGGGTGCAAGGTAACAGCATGACTACAGGGCATTATCTGTCATGGGGTGCAAGGTAACAGCATGACTACAGGGCATTATCTGTCATGGAGTGCAAGGTAACAGCATGACTACAGGGCATTATCTGTCATGGAGTGCAAGGTAACAGCATGACTACAGGGCATTATCTGTCATGGAGTGCGAGGTAACAGCATGACTACAGGGCATTATCTGTCATGGAGTGCAAGGTAACAGCATGACTACAGGGCATTATCTGTCATGGAGTGCAAGGTAACAGCATGACTACAGGGCATTATCTGTCATGGGTGCAAGGTAACAGCATGACTACAGGGCATTATCTCCGTCAGT